TTAAGGTGATGATAGCCTCATAGAATGAGTTTGGAAGTTTACCTTCCTCTGCAATTTTCTGGAAGAGTATGAGTAAGACAGGTGTTAGCCCTTCTCTAAATTTTTGGTAGAATTCAGCTATGAAGCCATCTGGTCGTGGGTTTTTGTTGTTGGAACATTTCTGATTACAGTTTTGATTTCCTTGCTTGTGATGGGTCTGTTAAGATTTTCTATTTCTTCCTGGTTCAGTTTTGGAAAGTTACACTTTTCTAAGAATTTATCCATTTCTTCCAAGTTGTCCATTTTATTGGCATATAGTTGCTGATAATAGTCTCTTATGATCCTTCATATTTCTGTGTTGTCTGTTGTGTCATTTCTAATTTTGTTGATTTGAGTCCTCTCCCTTTGTTTCTTGATGAGTCTGGCTAATGGTTTGCCTATTTTTTTTTTTTCTCAAAGAACCAGCTTTCAGCTTTGTTGATTTTTGCTATGGTCTCTTTTGCTTCTCTTGCATTCATTTCTTCCTTAATTTTTGTGATTTCTTTCCTTCTACTAACCCTGGGGTTCTTCATTTCTTCCTTTTCTAGTTGCTTTAGGTGTAGAGTTAGGTTATTTATTTGATTTCTGTCCTGTTTCTTGAGGTAGGCTTGTATTGCTATGAACCTTCCCCTTAGCACTGCTTTTACTGATTCCCATAGGTTTGGGGTTGTTGTGTTTTCATTTTCATTAGTTTCTATGCATATTTTGATTTCTTTTTTGATTTCTTCTCTGATTTGTTGGTTATTCAGAAGTGTGTTGTTTAATGTCCATATGTTTGTATTTTTCGTAGATTTTTTTCCTATAGTTGACATATAATCTTACCACATTGTGATCAGAAAAGATGCTTGAGATTATTTTGATTTTTTTTTTAATTTACCAAGGCTAGATTTATGGCCCAGGATGTGATCTATCCTGAAGAAGGTTCCATGTGCACTTGAGAAAAAGGTGAAATTCATTGTTTTAGAGTGAAATGTCCTATGGATATCAATTAGGTCTAACTGGTCCATTGCATCATTTAAAGTTTGTGTTTCCTTGCTAATTTTCTGTTTAGTTGATCTATCCATAGGTGTTAGTGGGGTATTGAAGTCTCCCACTATTATTGTGTTACCGTTAATTTCCCCTTTCATATTTGTTAGCATTTGCCTTACATATTGCAGTTGCTCCTATGTTGGGTGCATATATAATTGTTACATCTTCTTCTTGGATTGATCCTTTGATCATTATGTAGTGTCCTTCTTTGTCTCTTTTCATGGCCTTTATTTCAAAGTCTATTTTATCTGATATGAGTATTCCTACTCCTAATTTCTTTTGTTGTCCATTTGTGTGAAATATCTTTTTCCATCCCTTCACTTTCAGTCTGTATGTGTCCCTAGGTTTGAGGTGGGTCTCTTGTAGACAGCATATATAGGGGTCTTGTTTTTTATCCATTTAACCAGTCTTTGTCTTTTGGTTGGGTCAGTCAACCCATTTACATTTAAGGTAATTATTGGTAAGTATAATCCCGTTGCCATTTACTTTGTTGTTCTGGGTTTGCATTTATAATCCTTTTCTGTATTTCCTGTCTAGAGAAGATCCTTTAGCATTTGTTGGAGAGCTGGTTTGGTGGTGCTGAATTCTCTGAGCTTTTGCTTGTCTGTAAAGCTTTTGATTTCTCCTTTGTGTTCGAATGAGATCCATAAGTTTTTCCTTTTCATCACCTTAAGCTAGGAGTCAGCGAAAGTTACTAAAATCTCAAAAATGGTATCTATAATAGAGAAGAAGTAAAATCCTTCCCCTAAAATAAAAAACTAGAATTTAGGGTAGGTCTTGGTTCTTTTCACTTCTACTTAATATCTTTTCAGGTGTCTTAGCCAGTGTGATAGGCAGGAAAAAAACAAATTTATAAACCTTAGAAATAATGAAGGAAACTAAACTTACATACAGATAACATGGTTTTGTATATGTATAATCACATACACACACACATACAAATATGTGCCAGAAACAATAAGTAAAATAAGATCATGAGATAGAAAGAAACTATATAAAATTCAAAGATATTCCCACATGTTTCCTATGATAAAAATTGAAAAATTTGAAAACATTACTTAAAACAGCATCATTAATATATAGTTAACAATAGGTCAATTTATCAAAAAATGAGTGAGACTTCAACAATGAATGCTAATTTACCTGGTGACTTTTGAGAAGAGGCCAATAGGATTTCTAGGTTAAAAGTATGATTTTGCCTAAACCACAAGAGTTCTGTGGTCTCAGCATCTCTTGTTTTAGCATGATCTGAAAAACATGACCACTTGTTGCATAATTTGAGCAATGTCTCTGGTTTCTTCAACACACGTAATTCCCAGGAATTTCACAGATGGAATTAGGCCTTGAATATTACATGAAAACCACTATCTTTAGTTATCATACAAATAGGAAAGGACATTTCTTTTGAGCATATTCCTCTGAGAAAGTAATTATCATGGTATGTAGTAATTTGACTTTAATGATTATGAACTCTAAATCTTGTCTAATTAGATTATGGCAATATGCTAATAGGCTCAACTATCTCTGTGGCAATAGAGTTAATGTACACAGATTTCAATCTATGAAAATTCAAATTGTGCCTGAATGGATTGAGAAATTATTATAAAAGGGAAGGTGCTATTGAAATACATAAGGATTCACCAATTCCTCATGAATTGTTGCTATTCTTAATATTCTTTTTCATATTTTTACCAACTCCCACACTTGCTACAATAGAAATTGAAAGAGGCCAAAGCAGAGTTGCAAGCAAGGCTTGTACTGCAGCATGCGGACAAATATCAAGTACATGTGCTTATTCCCTAAGAAAATTTTCTCGAGTCCTTAAAAGTGATAACAGAGACAGGCCTGAGAGGTTGAGCAGGGGGGCTATAGCTGAGGTGGTCTGCCCACCTCCTTTCTGGTGCTGGATGCAGGGTTCATGCACAGTTACCCTGCTTTTGCTCCAGGCCCCTCAGGAGTGGCAATTGGTCTAGGACGTTTTTGGATCATTGCTTCTATCCTTTTTGTATCTTACTGTCAGTCCCTTATACTTCCTTTGTATTCTGTTGCTGGAGAAGACCCCTTGTCCAGGTGCGAGCACTCTGGCAAAGGGTCCCATGTCCCACCTTATCTCAATATTAAGTACAGCTGAAGCAATCAGAAGACACACCTTGTTTGACCTTTAATAGTCTCCTCTGCCCATTATTAAGTAGCAAAAGAGAACTGCTTTCATATTTCTCCACATATAACATGAGAATATAGTAATATGTGGGTTTTTGTATGTATATGAACAGGGTGATTAAGTGAGACAGAGGAGCAGAAAGGAAAAGAGAGAAAAGAGAAGGGAGAAGAAATTTAATGTGAGACTCATCCAAATCCAAAGTAAAATGATACCAGATATTATGCAAGAATTGCTGGCTGTACACAGGTACACAGATAACCGTTTCTGAATGGCCAGGTATATGCTTGTTGATTTGTAAATGAAGTTTTTAAAAAAACAGGTTGCTCCAATTAGGTCAAATCTTAAATACTGAAAAACTTAGGTAAGAATTTTTACAAGATATATTAATGTACCACTAATAAATTTCTGACTTAAGAGCTTTTAACTACAATCTCCTAACTTAATTTCCTTTTCTCAATAAATCATTCAGTGCAATGATTCTCAGCAGGGGTAGGTGGAAGAGAATTGTTTTTCAAAAAGAAAAGAGATTTAGTAAGCACCAAATTCCAACCTTATCATTTCCTTAATCAGAGCATTAATGTTGCACTTCTTGGATTTTGTACTGCTTAATTTACTGATAGAGATAGTTCAGGCAATTTTAAAGGTTCTCTTTAGCAAGACTCCCCAAATTAGGCTTTATTAAACCCAGTAAATTTCCAATGTGGGGACAAAGGTGCCGCACCTTGTTCTTATATAATGTCCATCCCAGTTATACATTCAGATATCAAATATCAACTACCACTGTAGTTGAGTTCAGTTGGGTTAGTACTCATTGAAGTGAGGAGAATGTAAACCATGGGAAATCAGAGAGGTGCCTTAGACCTTGGGTGTTAGAAAGGACTTCTTACAGAACTGGAGCCTGTGTGAGGTGATCTGGGGGAAGGTTTAGGGAAGACCCTTTTGCTCTGGATTGGTGATTCAAGGGAACATAACTTATGCTGTGACTGAGTGTCTTAACAAACCTTATCTGGAGCAGAAGAGAATAGAGGGAAGCCAAAGCTCTAACAGTAAACGAAGTTGCAATCATGCTTTAGCTAGGAGAGACAGATCTTTACTGTTTTATGGTTTTGGACTGATCTTGTTTTTGTCTGTACTCAAGACTGCCAATATGATGAATTGGTCAAATTTATAGAAGTGACTGTGTGCCCTTCTCTGATGCTGCTGTTTTGTGAGAGTGTTTGTGTCCAACAAGAGCGAGTCATTTCCAAGCTGTGAGTCTAGGCCAGGTCCTAACAGTTCCAAACCCCAGGAGTGTCAGGCCAGTTCCCAGGCCACAGGACTGCTTCCCTCTTTCTCACTTGCTAAGTCACTCCAAATAGAGTATTTATGGGTCAGTCGATAGCAGAGCTTGGTGGAATCAAAGTGAACCTTTATACCTAGGAAATATTGATTCACATAGAGAAAGCTCTAGTCACCAGTGATATACACAAGGATTGTGACTTGTTTTTAAAAATTAGATAAGTATATAGGAGGTCCATTCATTTACAGTAATATAGGGAAGAACTTGGTAAGATTAAAAATATCTATCACTTGACATAACGATTCGATGACAACTTGGCTGACAGCTAAAAAAATAACTACTATTTTTGATGTCACTCAGCATTTTATTTGAATGAATAGAAACTGATTAGAGATAAGAGAGATATGATAGGGCTGGAAAGTAGCAGCAGTGAAACAAATCATGGGACACTCTGGCCGAATCCAGTAGGATCAATATAGAAGGCTGAAGCTGATTCCATCTCAGTGATAACTTTTAGCAGTAAACTAACCGAAGCCATGGGGTAAAACCTGAAACAGAAAAAAAATATTGTGAAGAGGTTTTCCAAAAACAATGAAGAGTGTGTTTTCCTTCCTGGGACCCTGCAAGACTAACAATGTCAAATGACACTGATTCAGTGGAATCAAAAAGAGATGAAATTTATATCCCTGGAAGATAAACACCTAATTCCCATCCAGAGGCAATAGGACACTCAGGCTGGGATGGAAATCTAGTACAGCAAAAAGTTTAGAGAAAACAGAGAGACAACCAATATGGATTAGTTCTTCATGTATATGGCACAAACCAATCCAGCCTTCTGATAAGAGACAATTATTCATAATCTCACCCATAGGCTATGCAATATAGAACTTAGAGATGGGTGCCAAGCATTGTCTCAGGCACAGAAAGAGTATAATGTAGTATTTCAAAGGTTCCACATGTCTTTCCTTGTTTATGAACAAATCCATACCTTTTTCTGACTGCATAATATTCTGGGAAAAGTTCTTATTGTAATTTTTAATTTTGCCATATTTAAAATGCTTATTTCATAGCATTACTGTGATTTAAATTACATTATATATGTGAACTTATAACACATTCTCTGTCATATATTCAGAATCAATCATATTTGTCATTGATTTTACTAGGCTGTTGAAAGATAGAATCTAACCAGAAATAGGAAGACTGTACCCTAGACCCTCAACGGATTTCCACATTCCGAGAAATACCCTGAATGATACTCAACACTAACTACATCAAGGAAGCCTCATTATAATGCTAGTTTCTATTTTTGAATATTCTTTAAAAGAAACAAAGACATTTTTGGTAGAAAAAAGCAAACATAAAGAAGTTCCTGGTTTCAGGGAGACCCATATTTTCGTCTTTCCCATGTCAATTCTGCTAAAGATGAATTTTGCCTGTTAGGGGCCAGTATTTCAAGAGCCACACAGGTGAAATTGGTAAACAAGAAACTGCAGACTTCAGGCAGCCTCAATGTCTCTCTGTGACTCAATATGTAAATCCACAAGGAATTAGAGAATAAAGAGAAGATAACAGGGCTTTTCTCATGACTTCTTCTGCCCCCTAAATATACTCTAATCTGAGAATAGGGAATACAGTGATTCTAGCAAACCCATAACGAAAGTACTCATAGTGTAAACTTACGAAAATAAAAGAGGCAGTCTTCGTAGGACATGGTGGTCTTGGCAGCAGTGGTGGTTGTGGCAGCTGCAGTGGTTCTGGTGGAAGCAGCAGTGGATGTGGTGGGAGCAGCAGTGGATGTTGCAGCAGCCGTGGATGTCGCAGCCGCAGTGGATGTGGTGGGAGCAGCAGTGGACGTCGCAGCTGCAGTGGATGTGGTGGGAGCAGCAGTGGATGTCGCAGCTGCAGTGGATGTGGTGGGAGCAGCAGTGGATGTGGCAGCAGCCGTGGATGTCGCAGCCGCAGTGGATGTGGTGGGAGCAGCAGTGGATGTCGCAGCCGCAGTGGACTCTGTGGCTGCAGCAGAGGTGGCAGGGGGATCAAGAGTGGTTGAATAAGAGGTTGAAATTAGGACACAATGCAGTCAAGACATTTGATTCTTCCTCAGGCAATAAAATTTGTGCTGCCCAAGTTTGGACATGCATTTCTCATTCTGAATTCATCTCTGCAAATGATAGCAATACTGTTACACCATTGCTCTGGCTACCAACTCTGCTTGAGAAGTACTATCTCCTTTCTATGCATGCAGTAAGATCACTTGCCACAGATTCCTGCGTGAAAGGGGGGGTATATTTGTCTCACATTTGGAGGGCACAAAAATTCCATGTACTACAGTAGTATTTGTGAGAGCCCCTTAGAAATAACGGGAAATATTTGTATTATTCTGATAATAATAAAGCTAAGCAAAGGCTCTGTCACCTACCCTGTATTCAAAGGGAACCTGCCGAGATTGATGAGATTTATTTCCCCCTACAGAGCAAACAGCAAATCAGACCCCCAAACTCTGAGCTAAAACCACCTCAATACCATCTCCATACCCTATCTCAGGCCTCATGTAGGAGAGAGAATTTTTTTAAGGTGAACCCCACATGGCACATGTGGCACAGTGTATGAAGTCAAACAAGAGTCAGTGACCTCATGACCAGAGAACCCAAGTCTCCAAGCTGTGGAGGCTGAAAAGAAAGATCTTCAAAATGCCCACATGAGCATGACACACAGCATAGAATGGGCAGGGTGCTGTGGAGAAAGCCCAAGAATGACTAGAAGTTTGGCCCACAGCCTTGGGGTTCACTTTAAAGAAGATACACAAACCTCAGCCTGGGAATTAGGCATTGATGCCATTACAAATCTCAAAGCTTAGAGCCCTTCTTTTACTTGACGCCTACATTACACATCCTGTATCATGCCCTCCCATGTGATCCTCATGCCCTCATTTCCGAATCACTTTCAGGGTGTGCATTCTCTTCCTTCCTTCAGGCCTCTCCTTGAAGCAATGGCCATGTATTCAATCCTTCAAATCAGCATAACCAGAAAGACTTTCATGCACATTCCCAAAATTCTCAGGTCACATCAGACCACCTCTCCTTGTTCTTTTGTTGGAGAAAAATCAATGATTGACCCCCAATTTTTGTAAATCCATGCAAGAGACTTAATATTATCAAATGCTGTATAAAAAATAAGCTGATTCTTATATGTTTCCATGAATTCCCTCCTAGCTCAGTTAGTAAAGAATCCGCCTGCAATGCAGGAATCCGTCTGCAATGCAGGAGACCCCGGTTTGATTCCTGGGACCAGAAGATCTTCTGGAAAAGGAAGTGGAGACCTACTCCAGTATTCTTGCCTGGAAAATGCCATGGACAGAGGAGCCTGGCAGGCTACAGCCCATGGGGTCGCAAAGAGTTGGACATGACTTAGTGACGAAACCATGAATTTTTATATGAGGAACAATACTTTTCCAGGCTTTTTCATAGAATTCTTATAACCCATCTCTCATGGAAGCTCTGACATGAGACTGGGATGGAAAATGGTCACTGCAAGAAGGAGATGAAGTGCAAGTGCAAACTCACCCGGAGAAGAACTAGCAGGACCTGTTACTGTATCCTCTGAAAGAGAAAAGGGAAAAACAGAATGTGCATTGAACACCAGTTTTGGGTGTGGAGAGAATAAGAATATGGACAATGGTGCAGCCTTCCACAGATGAATCACTTTAGCCTTTGGTACACACATTGAGGGGGAAAAGATAATATAAAATATTATATATTATATAGATAGATAGATAGATAATATAAGATCCCACAAAACCATAACATGCACTCACTTTTGCTTTCCTGAAATAAACCTCTGATTTTACATACTTTAAATAGATTTTACTGACTCTAACCATGAAGCCGGGGTCCAAAGTTAGAACTGAGCAAAGATCTGACTGAATTAGGAAAAGCCAAAGGGTAGAGTCAACTCATTCATGAATTGTCTATGAAAATGGTACTGGAACAGGGGAATGAGTAGAGGACAGGAGGGGCCATAATTTTAGACTCCTCCAAACACACTTCCACACAGCTTGATATACTGCTCATCAAAACCTTGTTTTCAGGTAAGAATCTTTACATACGGCCAGAAACCAGGAAGGTGGAAACTGCCACCAGTGCCAGGAACACCAAAAACTTCATGATGGTCAGTTGTAGAGCAGGCAGCACAGAGGAAAGGTTCAGAATCCAGAGGAAGATAAGACTCCGACTCTAGGATTCCACATCCTGACATTATATAGGCAGAGGGTGCCAATCAGAAGCCGCAAGACCCGAATCCAGGTTTGTTCATGCCAGGAATGTCTGTTCTCAGAGAAACCACTGGAGAATCAGCAGCATAGCCAGAGGCTCTTGAAAATCATAACTTCAATCCCCTCATTCTGACGCAGAATTTAATACAAGAGTTTGCCACATTAAAGATTTTACAGGCATCAACTTCTCCTCCAGGCTTCCTCTTGGCTCATGATGTAAACTGACACCGTGATTACCAACCACACACCCAGCCTTCTTGTTTTACTCAAATCTACAGTGCTCTTTTCAGAGACTTTTGAAGCTTACTCAGTCATTGTCTCCTCAAGAAAAGATTAATCAGGATACAATAGGCTGATTGAAGAACCATCCTCTTCAGGGGGGCTGTGCATTCCTCATGCTATCATCTCCCTCCTGCACCTAGAGATCAGGTCAGATGACACACAGAGGGAGCCCAGCATTGATAAGATTTTTCTGAATCTAAATGTGTCTTGTGAAAATTTCAAAGTGAAAGAGAAAGAAAAGAGAAAGTTTAACACTTACTAATGAATCTATTGCGGCAATTCATTCATTCTACAAATATTCATTGAGTGATTTTTTGCTGTTCAGTCGCTCAGTCATGTCCGACTCTTTGCGACCCCATGGACTGCAGCACGCCAGGCTTCCCTGTCCTTCACCATCTCCTGGAGTTTGCTCAAACTCATGTCCATTGAGTTGGTGATACCATCCAACCATCTCCTCCTCTGTCATTCCCTTCTCCTCCTGCAATCTTTCCCAGCATCAAGGGTATTTTCCAATGAGTCAGCCTTCTGCATCAGGTGGCCAAAGTACTGGAGTTTCAGTTTCAGCATCAGTCTTTCCAATGAATATTCAGGGTTGATTTTCTTTAGGATGGACTGGTTGGATCTCCTTGCAGTCCAAGGGACTCTCAAGAGTCTTCTCCAACACACAATTTGAAAGCATCAGTTCTTCAGGGCTCAGCCTTCTTTATGGTCCACCACCTCCATATATGACTACTGAAAAAACCGTAGCTTTGACTATACAGACCTTTATAGGCAAAGTAATGCCTGTGCTTTTTAATACACTGTCTAGGTTTGTCACTGCTTTTCTTCCAAGGAACAAGTGTCTTTTGATTTTATGGCTGCAGTCACCGTCCACAGTGATTTTGAAGCCCAAGAAAATAAAATCTGTCACTATTTCCATAGTTTCCCCATCTATTTGCCATAAAGTGATGGGACTGGATGCTATGATCTTAGTTTTTTGAATGTTGAGTTTTAAGCCAGCTTTTTCACTCTCCTCTTTCACCTTCATCAAGAAGCTCTTTAGTTCCTCTTCTCTTTCTGCCATAAGGGTGGGTCATCTTAGAGAAACAATGAAAATATTGTGCAAAAATTCCATGCTATACATCTTATTGTGCAAATTCATACATAAGAAAGTAAACAGGAAGGGTGGGAGGGAGAAAAGATGGAAGGAAGGAAAGGAGAAGAAAAGATGGAAAAGGAAAGAAAGAAACATGAAAGAAAGAAATATTTCGTATGTAATGTTACTGGCCTAATAAATAATAATACAGAGAAGAAGAAAGGGAAGCGTTCTTGGAGATGAAAAGGGAGGTTATAATTTTAGATAAAGTAACCCAGAAAGGCTTATTAAAACCACAATGTTAAATTAAAATGAAGTGCAATTAACAACTCAAATTAAATTCATAATGTATCTCCAAAATTTTTACTACTGCCTTTCCCATCACTTGATTATTTTTATAATTTCTGTTATGAAACAAAAAATCGAAGTATATATAAGAATGTAAAATTTACCACATCATCTAATGCAATGAGATAACTGACATTACTACTTGGGTAATTATATATTTGCTAAACACATTTCTGCTCATGTGAAGTCATGCTCTCCATGCCTGCCATTGCACACTCACTATTAGCACCACAAGAAAGCACCTGTTAAGTGAATTGCTCCAGGTTCCCCTTGTAATAGACAAATGTGTATATATACAAATGTATGTATATATGTTTCTTAAAAAATGATATACCAAATGGCATTATATTCTGGACCATTCTTCCTCATTGTGCAGACAGGCTTACACCTTTGAAATCGAAGTTAGCCATTATAGATCTAGTATATAATTTCTTCCAGTGGCTTCATTATGTCATAATTGACTCTAGCATTCCCTGTGGATGGAAATTTAGGTCATTCCTAGTTATTTGCTACTATTAATTATGAAGCCAATGATATGCTTTTTAAATGATATTTACCAAATTTTTTGTATCAGTGCTCTAGATTGCCAGAGGTTTTTGAATAAATCATATGTATATTTTTGTTAAACTATACAAAATTGCTTTCCCAAAAGACTCTAAAAATTAGTATTAACAGAAACAAAAATAGGAGCACATTTTTCCAACCTTCTTGCCAGCAGTAAATTTACCTCAGTTTAATCTTGCCAACTTGATACGTCAAAAGCAGTGTTTATTATACTCATTTGCATTTCCTGGATGACTATAAATAAAGCATATTCCATATATTTATTGACCAGTTAAATTTCCTCTTCTGTGATTTACCTATTCAAATCTTAAACCTATTCTGTTTTGTTTTCCTGTCATTTTAAGAACTTATGGTACATAACAAATTTTAACATTCTTTACCTTTTATACTAATCACAGTTTTCCAATCTAACCCACATGTTTTAATTTTATTCACAATAAATATTGGAGGTTTTAAATTCAAGTAGTTCTTTCATCTTAATCCAATCTGTATAATAAGCAATTTAAAAAATCTATGACTGGGACATCTTAAATTTGTGACCTTTAACATTCCTTCATGCAAATGTTGCATCTCTTTCTAATCTCTGGATTTCCCCACTGATTACAAACCTGGCCCCAGTCACCTATGTGTGCACTCAGATTTGGATCATTTAATAAGGGAGCAAAATACTGAGAGGAAACCAGAAAAGAAGTCTCGGTATGGCTGGAGTTCTTACAGAGGAGCATCAGGGACTTGGTCCAATTCAGACTGCTCACCGATTGCCATATACCACACAGAAGTTGCAGGATTCTGCAGCAGTGATGGACTGGGATGGGCAATGACAGAGCTGTTTCCAATAAACCAGCATTAACCAGACACAGACTAGCAAGGGGATAGGATACGAGTTAATAACAGAGGAGAGAGGTGAAGAGACGCCTTGGGGTGATGTGAAGCCCAGGAGGATTTGATGTTAAGATCAAAGGTCAGATCACCTTCTATTCTTCCATCAGAGGAGCTGAGAAGCACACAGGGCTGCACAATGACTGTCCAATGTAAGAAACCTGAATGCGTGCACTAAGCACGGCGTGCAGACACAGCACATTTCTACTGCTCATCAGTAGATGATGTCTATCGTCTTTGTCTATCGTCTTCCATTATCACTGTTCATCTTGACTTAAATAGCACCTCTTCATGGAAGTCTCCAATGGCTTTCAAACTAAAGGAATCCTCAACTTGTGTGCAGATAACTTGATTCTATATTCATCACAATATTTATCACTCTGATATTTTCTTGTCTTACTGTTTCTTCGATCACGGATTCTCTGGTTTTCTGTCCCTGCCAAGTAAACAAGCTTGAAGAGAAAAAAAAAAAAAAAGTTGTCAACTCTATCAAGATCTAGAAGAATGCCACTGGATAGGCTCTTGATAAATGTGAGTTAACTAGAATGAATGATGGAATGAGTGAACAAATGAATGAAATAATGAGTGAAAAACAAATCATATAATACACATAACACAAAAGGGAGGTCTTTAAGGAAGGTATTAGGAGGAAGTATAATGTGAAAACAAAAGGTTAAGTAGCTTGTGGGGGAGACCTTGGAAGAGACCCTCAGGCTATGAATGTGAGTTAAGATATGAAATAAACAACAAAAAAGATTAGCGAGGAATCCCAAAACAGAATTAACTATGGAAGAATTCCAATGGTGTTTATGTACAAAGATTCTTTATTGTCTCAAAATTATATAGTCACAAAAATATGGATAATACAGGGTTACAAAAAAAACCAGCATGCAGTTACACATGAAGATAGGAATTCTACACACAAGTGAAGCATAGTCACTACTCAGCTGGACCGGAAAAACCTCAAAATAGTTCCTGTACTGAAAATTCAGGAAAGATCTTTCCAAACCTTCCCCGGGTTCGTTATTCAACTGTCAGGAAAGATTTCTCCTAAGCAAATTCTCTCCACTATTTAGTTTCTGTAATTAAGGAGAAGAAATTCCAAACAGTTACCTAATTTTCATTCTTTTCCCAGTCTAGGCTCATTGCACTCAACTGGTTTACATCAATTCCCTATAAGTGCCACTCCTGTTCCCATAAATTTTAAATGGATGCTCCATGATGAAAAATACAGAAAACCAAAACATGCTCTTCCATGAACCAAAACAATCAGAAGAAATATTATACTAGTTTTATCACTTTACTTTTTTTCTCTATTTCTTTAAGGATACTCCACTGTTTCGTCTTCATTTATTATCTTTTGTATTCTTTTTCTGAGTATCTCTTCCAGAATCTCCTGTTATCACTTTATTTTTTTTCTCTGGGAATACTCCATTGTTTCGTCTTCATTTATTATCTTGTATATTTTTTTTCTGAGTATCTTTTCCAGAATCTTGTGTTACCACTTTATTTTATTTTTCTCCATTTCTCTGGGTATATGCCACTGTTTCTTCTTCATTTATTATCTTTTGGAATTCTTTTTCTGAGTATCTTTTCCAGAAGGTCTTTCTCCAAGTCTCTCTATCTCTCTGGAAGTCTTTGTCACACATAGTTTGTCTATAGCTCCCATCATCCTTTACCTTCATCCAAACTTTACTAACAAAGTGCCTTTATTTTATTTATTTAGGTAAATTTTACAGGTTGTG